CGCTAATAGCGTCTCCCCGAACGCAGCCTGAGACAGAGAGAGATGGGGGGGGGGGTTGCGGAGAGAAGGAACGCTAGCAATTTTGTACGTTGGATTTTATCTCGACACGCTTATTTTGTCATCCCTGCTGTACTATTTGTCTAAGCTACTTTCTGTTCTTCGCGTCTGACGAATCGGAAGACGAAATGCAGTGCTCGCTGCTGCATAACAGCCTTCCGCATTTCTTCCTCGCGTCCGCGAACGAGTGCGCGCAAGCTCGCCAAGATGGCGGGACCGTCTTGGAAGCGGAAATTTGTTTGAACGTCGGCCTTCGACAGTGGTGTTTACAGCTGCTTCCAGTCGCGTTGCGACAGGTTAGGATCGCGCCGTCCGGCTGACGTTGGCGCGTGAGTCAAATTTTGGTTCGAGGTATTCAGGTAATAACGCAACCGACGCTAAGTAATCGCTAATGCTGTTGGATTCGTCTAACGTTTTTAACACGACGGATACGTCCGTTTCCGTTTCTAAAGTCGACTCTGTTGCAGAAACTTTATGTCAGAGCGCACCAGCGAAGGCTTGGAATACATGAAAAGTAAAATTTTCAGAGAATTGAACGTTTATATATTTTTTACTGATTGCCATTGAGATTCCGAATGGCACAATTGCTGTACGGCCGTCCACGTACTTGTCGCGAAACGTCCTACTGCTAAAACACAGTAGTTGTACTAAGGAACGAACGAGATACCTGCCCTATATGCACTTGTGCGAAGACTGATTCGTTAATTCGACAGATGAAAGAACGAGAGAAACAATGAAGAGAAATTTGCGAAATAGGCAAGGTCCGTCGATAATTGAATTGTCCGATTCCGACGATGATGACTGTAAGACTAAGCAACTCAAAGATGAGGACTACGTTGTGGAAGACAGCAAGAGGAAACAGAAAATTACGGCGAGCAAGGCAGAGCCGAGGAAGAAGAGAGCGAAGAGAGAAACGCAGAGCAAGACTGTTAAATCCGTTAAGAGAAAGACTAGCGAGGCAGACTCGGAGACATTCGGGAACAAAAAAGCGAAGCTACAAGGATCGTCGTGCACCGAGCCTGCCGACGTAGAGCCGCAGCGAAACTGGGATGATTTAACGAGAGCTCGTGCGAAGGAAGACACGAAGATCCAAGAGAAACTAAGCTGCAGCCTCTCGCAGTCCACGGAATGGACCGACGTCGACTACATAAGCGAGATCAACAACGTGGATACACGCATCGTGGAGAATGTGGTGAGGCTTTTCAAGCAGGACAACACTATACCGTTTATCGCGCGATATCGGAAGAACATGACTGGCTCCATGGAGCCGGACAAGCTGAGAGCGCTGCTGGACAGTTTCGAGCAGGCGAAGGCCATCAAGCTGCGCGCCGCGGCGATTATCAAGAGCATCGACAAAGCGGAGAAATGGTCGCCGGAGATTCACACAGCCGTCACGTCCGCGAGATCCCTCGCCGATCTCGAGCACATTTATTCCTTGTACAAGCCGGGGTCCAAGCGACTACTGGCGGAGAAAGCCCGAGAACTGGGCCTGGGAGCTGTCGGCGAGGCTGTCTTACGGGGACAGGACGTACCGCCGTTGGCGTCCCTGGTGGACCAAGAAAGGGAGGGTTTGCGAAACGAGGAGGAGGTGAAGAGCGGCGTCGTGCACGTAATTGCGGACGTCATCAGCAAGGACAGGAAGGTTTTCGACAAGGTTACGTCCCTCCGGAGAGAGTCAGTCATAGAGATACAAACGACGCGGTGCAAAACCACGGAGAGCTCCAAGAACACGAACGATCAGAAGTACGAGCAGTACTTCAATTTCAAGTTGAGCGTGAACGCGATCAAGCCGCACCACACACTCGCCATCAACCGGGCCGAGTCGCAGAAGATCATCAGCGTCAAGGTCTCCGTCCCCGACGCCTTCGAGCGCGCGTTCAAGAAGTATTGCCTATCGCGATACGCGCCTCAGCGAGAGCAGGGGCAGCACTACGCGAAGACGCTCTACTTGCTCAACGACGGGATCGATCACGCATACAAAAAGCTGATCAAGCCTCAGATGACGCGTCGCGTGAGGAGCGAGATGAAGGAGAGCGCGGAGAAGGCGTCCATAGAAGTTTTCGCGACTAACGTCAAGCAGCTGCTGCTCACTCCGCCCGTGCGGGGTAAGATCGTCCTCGGCGTGGACCCGGGTTACCGTCACGGATGCAAGCTCGCCGTCGTGTCGGAGCAAGGCGACGTTCTCGAGACCGGCGTGATGTACCCTCACAACCACTCGTCGGCGTTCAAAGACGCGGCCAACGTGTTGGCGAGATTGGTGGACAGACACGGGTGCACGATAATAGCGCTAGGCAACGCCACGGCGTGCAGGGAGACCGAGTTGTTTCTGACCAAGGTAATAGGATCGATGCTCGGCTCGCTGATGTACACTATCGTCGACGAGTGCGGGGCCTCGATTTACAGCTGCAGCCCGCAAGCCAAGTCCGAGTTCCCGGATCTCGATCCGAACCTGGTGTCGGCTGTCTCGATCGCGAGACGCCTGCAGAACCCGCTAGCGGAGTTAGTTAAGATAGAGCCCAAGCATTTGGGAGTCGGGATGTATCAGCACGATCTCCCGGAGGCAAAGCTGACCAAGACGCTATCCGAAGTTAGTATGAGTTTGTTGTACAACGTTAGCTAAATGTGCAACTTGACAATTAGACTGCAGATAATTTGAGAAACGTCGATGTGTAAAAACAACTGCTTACTTTTTAACGCTAATTTCTTCGACAAATTCGAAATTAATATTTCTCTCGGTAGATCAATATCCATTCTACTTTTGGTAAGAAAAAATCGCGATGAGAGATTTCTCGAAAAGCTTCTTAGATAACAACGCGATAGCTTTGGGAGGGAATTCGATACGCGGCAGAGAGATATTCGTATCAAATGTTGCAGGTTGTCACGGAGGTGGTGAGTTTCGTCGGAGTTGATATCAATACCGCGTCCCATTATCTTCTACAGCGAGTGGCCGGCCTCACGCTGTCTAGGTCTACGAATATCATCGAGTGGCGAACGAAAAATGGACCTTTCAGAAACAGAGAGCAGCTGCTGAGCGTCAAGGGTATCGGCAGCAAAACGTACGAGCAGTGCGCAGGATTCATAAGAATTCTGCCGGAGACGGCAACGGTTAGCGAAGCCGCGTCGGAACGAACGGGCAAGAAATCGAAGAACGGCTTTAATCCCCTGGATCAGACGTGGATCCATCCGGAGTCGTACGCGATAGCGAATCGATTCGTGAAACACTGCCAATGCGAACTGAGCGACATCGGTACTCCGGTGTTCATCGAGAGGATAAATTCTCACGCGCGAGCCGGATGTGGAGCGCTGGCAGCGCAATTCGGCACCGACGAGACTACGATGGAGACAATAATCAAAGCACTGACCATGCAGAGGGACGAGGATATACGGTCGAAATTGAGCCAGCCGCTGTTCCGCAACAGCGTGCGACGTATCGAGGATTTGACCGCCGGTACCGTATTGAGCGGCGTCGTGCGGAACGTCACGCATTTTGGTGCATTTGTAGACGTGGGCGTTGGTAAGGAGGGACTGATACACGTCACCCGTATGAAAAAGGATCTACATATAGGCCAGCGTGTGGAAGTGAAGGTGGTTAGCATCGAACTGGCACGCCAGCGAATTAGCCTCGAGTTAATGAGTTCATGAATCAACGCTACATGTAATCGCGTCGACCATAAACTTTATACGTTACCGAAAACCAGCGTTAAATTCGTGCTCCAAAAGATATAGTTTGTTATCTGTGTATACGCTTGTATAATTTGTTTTAAGAAGGAGCAAAGAAAATCCGACATTTTATTTTTCTGACATTTGTTTTTAAGCAGGGACGGTTTTCGGATGTACAAGTCGCAATGAACGACAGTAATAAATATATATTTTGCAAATAACGTCTAACTCTGATACGTTCCGAATTTTTCCCCGACTTCGTCGTGAATCACTACTATCTAGTGCCATTCGTTTATTTGAGAATGCTTGCGGTTTATTCTGCCTATTTATTTCTTGTGTATATCTCTCTCGCAACACTTCTCGTGGGTAGTTTATCTCGGAGAAATGGATTCCACTTTATGTCGTGCAATGCGACCGCCTAAAACGCGAACTCTATATGCGTGGTTGCGGAGAGTTTGTAAAACGAATTCCAGTCACGTGCTAACGTGCCTTTTCCCTTGCTGCTAGCAAAAGTACAGTCGACTACACGGGAGAGAGGGAGGACGAGGAGGGTGTATTCCGCATTGAATGCTGCAGGAAAGGAGGTCGCAATTGCGACAGACGGACAATCGTGGCTTAATCTCTTGTTTTTGAAATCGGTTTTTTCTTTGTTTTTTTTTGTTTTCCTGAGACCGTAAAAGATTAAGGATTGTCGACTAATCAAAGTTCATTCACGGTGAATCTCGTGTTACCGGGTTTCAATTGTATTGTTGTCACGTAATATAAATATTTAAAAAATTGATAACTACAGTGCTGGGCGATTTAAAAACTGTAGAGTAAGTGAAAATGGCCCAGACTTAAAAATGGCATATTAATTTTCTCGTTTTAAATGTTGAAAACGAAATTTCGTCAGAGATTTTATTTTTTATTCCTTGCTTTCTCATTTTCTTTCGGGATCTTCTTTCTGTTTGTATCACCGATAAGAAAGGGTCGTCCCGTAGGCACGATCGGCATGAATACGATTTTATTATTGCATCCTCTTACCTGATTATTTTTTTCCCTCCCCCCCAGAACACACTCCTCGTTCGCCTCGCCTGAAAGTTTTAGCATGCAATCTGCGAATTCTATCCCGCTATCGGGGAAGTTCGGGCGCATACCATTCCGCTCTGTCCGCTGTTGTCTCGAACCTTTGCTACATTTTGCATGAGGAGTACACTATATACGCCGAATAGCTCGCTTTAGGCAGGATTTAAGAACGTGCCTGCGCCTCTCCGTCGGAAAATCCGTATTTGATTGTTACTTTCGGAATCGAGAAGCAACAATCTCTCGCGTTTTCTATATATGATCGACGCTACGTGCAACGTGTTTAATCGAGCCTTCCAAACCGATAAAAATTGAGACAATGAAAATGGAATGAAACATTTGTAGCGAGGAAGATCAAGAATGCTTTCTAAGAATATATTTTAAGCTCAGGTTAAAATTGTAGCAAAGGTCTGGTATCGTTTCAGATAAAACAATACATAATATATAAAGTTTTATGTTTAAAATGAAATAATATATCAACTGTACTGCAAAATTTAAAAACGAAACGTTTATAAAAATATTTTTATTCGATCGATATATACGTGCTACAAATGTCTTTATCTAACGTATTTAAATTTATGTAAATTTTGTAAGGAAAAAAATTCCACCACTAATGTTTGAAACAGTTCCATCACGAATGTTTAAATCATATAGTTAATTATATAATCAATGTATAATGATATTTACGATGTTTGCTGAAAAGCGATAATTTTGATAACATGATCAACTTCGTTAATTATTAACCGTTAAAATAAAACGGTCTCTAAATATTCTCCTGTCTGGTTAAGCCGTTAAACGTTTAATTAATTGACAGTTTAAGATCTCGTTATCGGTTTGGTTAAATTGGCGAGACCTGGAAAACGCGGTGTTCGCATGGTTTTTTTTACGTTTTCACTCAAACAGTATCAAATAGAGCCTATCGATGTCATTCACGGAACAATGCACACGATTGATTTCTTTCGTCCAATCGGATAGATCAATCGAAGCCACAAAATATTCGCGAGCAACGCGACGTAGGCGCGTATCCCGCGCGTATTGAATGTATAATCCGGAAATATATACATTCGACGGAAAGCGAAATGTTCACTGCGCGAAACGAGCTGGAAAACGAGAATCATACATGACAAATCCATTGTTCTCTCACAATTGTGTCTTGAATTCGCGCACGAAACGCATTGATAGTTTGAGCGACAAATAGATTTACCGTATAACGTTTCTTCATTACGAGCAAAGAATCTCAAGGAAAAGAAAATTCAATATTGAATAAAAATATATTGATTCTTGAGAGAAAATTTTAAATAAACCGATTTATGTAATAATTATATTTTCACATCTGTAATATATTTTTAGTAACTTTATGAAAAAGATTTTAGTCATAGGTAAACTGAAAAAAATTGGGAAAAAATTGTCACAAATCTCAGAAATTATTGACTCTTCTCTACAATTCAAATCGTTTGTATCCTTCTTGGAAAAAAATCGCTTAATAGGGGCATTTTTTCAAGATTATAGATTTGAATACCTATGTTTTTATGAAACGTGAAAATTGATAAAGTTTGAGTCATTCTTTTCCAAATTAAACATTTGTCCATGTCATTTTGGAAAAGTTATAGATTGAACTTATCAAATCGCTCGCATCTGTACATACGCTCGGAAGAATGAATATTTTTTCTACACTTTCAAAAGAATTGCGAAGAGAGGTTTTGACGAAGGAAACTTACGCTCGCGAGTTAACGTTAATCGCCGAGACGCCAGGCATGAAATCGAAGATATCGTTTGTAAAATACGATTAAATTCTCTGTACGAATGTCACTATCGTACGCGGAGTATTGAATATCGATTTAACTTCGTACTCCACACAACCTTGGCATTGAATTCCACGGGGCCTTCCGCGTGCTCTTTCCACCGTATCTACCCTTTATTTTCCGGGACGCTTTTCATGCCCGTCGTTTTTCTCCCCCTTTCATGCGCCCCATTGTTAGACTAGACGCTTTGAAACTACTTTTCAACCCCTCCCACCTAGCCCCTGAGATCTGTCTATTCGCGCAACCGAGTAATAACCTCGGGTATTTTGTCCGGCATCGGAGAGATTTTATTCCAATGCTACACTTCTGCGCGAAGAAAAGATCTAAGCTTTTCATCCTGTCGTTGCGATATTCTCTATCACCATTAGCCCGCGAGTACCGTAAACTTTTTCCATTGAGTGCTCTATAACTAATCTGTGAATTAGAAATTTCAAGTAAAGTACGCTTGCCTAATGCACTTTCAAGTTTCTTGAAATCTATTGTCCCTGGTGGGGAAAAAAAAGTTGTGAATTAATTTCTCACGCAAGTTATCTTATTTAATTTACACGCGAATTCAAGACACAATCGCGGAGGAGAGGAACAAGCTCTTGTCGCATACTGCACTAACATTTTAACGTTGAAAATATGAAGCTTCGCCTTCCGCACATTTCCGAAGTTTAATTCGCGAGGAATCTCTCGATCGTTTGCAGGAATCAACGAGCCTTTGTTAAAGAGAGGAATTCAAAGAATTCGATTCCAGGGGAGTAGGTCAAAGAATTCGCGCGGATGAGGGATGGCTCGATCTGGGACACCCAGACTCTTTTTTCACGATATAATTGGTCATTACTGCGAAGGCGCGACGTTATGACTAATATGTGTAACTTAAGCACTCTGTACAAATTGCCTCTTCCGACGACACGGGTGGCTTTGTCACGCCGCGAGCCGCGGCCGCACAAAGCGTTCCCGTCGTGCCGGAGGAAGCTTTTTCCGCCTGCTTTCTTTACGGCCTTGCCATTCTGGCGGCTTACGTCCTTTCTTGGGCGAGCCCGTGTAACGCCAACCTAACGAGATGTAATATTTATTTTACCGGGGGAAAATATTTTCGCGCCAGTACATACAACGGGGTTGATTTATACCGAGCGATTCTGGAAACGGGGACGGGCCGTAGCTCCTTTCTTTTATTTAAGCGGGAAAATTACAGGGGAAAACTTCGCGCAGCCTTTTATCGGCGAACAAAGTTGCATCCCTTGCGATTCTCGCGAAAGTGCATCGATGCACTCGCGAGACGCAATTATCGCTTTATGCAACATATTTTATCCTTTTCAGTAGAGGATCGCCTGACCTTTTATACAATTTCATTACCATTCCATTACTTGTGTAAAAAGCTGGCTGACATACATTGTACACGCGCGATATTATTTGATAAAGAAACCGAGACTTTTTTAAAAATATATCGGAGCATTCGTCCGCCGCGAGCTTTATCCGCGACTTCGCAAAGTGCGTTTGTTGCGTTTCCCCTGTACCGCTTCAGTCTCGCGCGCTAACATTATTTCGCCGTACGCCAGGCGAGCTTTTCAGGTTGTCCCCGACGAAATCATCAGCCCGTCGCAGGAATACGCGCCGGAGGTTACTTAATTTCAGTCGCGACTCATAGGGGTGGGCTGATCCAATTATCGTGGTTCACCACGAGCATCAAGGTGGCGGTTTCCATTCTCTCTGCATCCCTTTGTCTCCCGTCAAAAGAGAGAGAGAGAGAGAGAGAGACCCCTCCCCTCTTCCCTCCCGGTGGCGGTACACACCGGCGCATCGTAACTCCGGTTCTCAAAAGCAAAACCGATCGGGCGCCACCGAGCGAAAGGGATTTAGAAGGTTGAGAGACTGACAAATTCCGGCCGGCGAGCGGATATCAATTCACTCCGTTTCGAATCCATTTCAACGGTCAGTTAGCATCTGAGCCCTTGCTTGATGTATGTAGGGGAATTGAGGGCTGTTAAAGTGAACATGAAGATTACAGCGGACGATTCCAAGATTTCTCTCGTCCGGATAATATCGTTACCCGAGCAAATGGTCAGCTGAGCGACACACGTACGTTCGCGGTAATCGCGATTAATCGAGAGAAAATTGATTTTGAAAGTCTAGCAGGTCTGTTTAATTGCATGTTGACGATTGCGCGTTTGTGCCGATTAGAAAGCAGTTTGTGCGATAATTACTTATAGCTGAAACGTATATTCGCGATTGTCCACCTCGCCATTTCGAGCAAAATTAACGACATATCGACTGAAACGATCTATAGATAGTATCGTCGTGTAAAAAAATTCTAAAATTGTGTATAAGTGTGTTACTAGACAACAGATAGATGTCAATTTCGAAGAGATAACACAATCACACTATGGATAGTATCGTTGTGTAAAAAAAATTTTTCAATTGCACACAGGTGTGTTACTAGACAACAGGTAGATGACAATTTCGAATAAATGACACAATCACGCACCACTGTCACTAGAGGAAACAATAAATATTATTCTATATTCTTTGCGTGCTTTTTCACGAGGAAGTTGCCACGATTTACCGAACACTCTGTACGACACAGTATGAAATAGCAATTGGACGTGTATCGCGAGCGGTTACCGGCGATGCTGGCGGTAATGAGAATGTAGGAACATTAACGTGCCAGCCTAATGGTCCTGATTTCGTCGCCATCCGAGACATAATGCGAGAGAACCTACGTAAGGGTTGGCTCGCGACTCGCTCCCGGCGTAAGGGTCTCTCTACACCCTCTCGATCAATATTCCGTGCAATGGCGTAGCGCTGTTTCTTTTACGCCTAACTACACTGCGATTTCGTTTGCCCTCGAGAACGCGATCCTACGATTATTATAGGGACACCGTGACGACGAGGTGAACGCGGTCCAGTTTTACAAATCCTCTAATTAGGGACAAATGAGATAACGGGGAGACTGACCGAAGATACATGTTAAATATTGTAAATAAGCCTCTAATGAAATACAGAGACTCTCGTTTCGGAAGTTCTCTCTCTCTCTCTCTCTTTCTCTCTCTCTTCGTTTTTAAAATGTAAAATATTCTTATCAAACGCGTATACATTTAATAGTGTATTATTATGCCATTGTACTGTACATTTTAACGTAAGCGTTAATATGCATCACATGGTATTTCAGGATTAAAACGCTATTTTAATCCTTGTTATTTATGCAACGTTAGTCTTTCGAAGTGCAACTAAGAAATTATATAGATAGTTCTACTTTAATGTCACCAGATTCTGACTTTGCGTGAGATTCCCCGTAAAATCGAATGAAAGATATAGTTAGGCGGGCATATAGAGCGATGTTTACTGAAGTAAATGAAAAAATGATTAAGTCCTTTCGGTACCACGTGTAATTTTAAATGGAATAGGTATTGCCGAGCTTTTGGAGAATTTGAAGTATTTACACGGCCGTAATACGGCGCGATTTGGACAAGTTCCGATATTTTCGAGCGAAATTACATTTGCATAAGCCGCAGCCGTTGGGCAAATTCGCTACTGCCAGTCAGGATATTTAATTGGAGAACCGTCACGCAACGCAACTGTCAATGGGAAAATCTCTCCCCCCGATAACGCGATTAAATTTCGCGGCCAATTGCCGTGACGCAAATTGGTGGACGACATATGGCTAAACAGGATTCTTGATGATTACCGCCCGCCATATATTACAAAGCACGTACCTACACACTCCACATCTTCTGTGCAAACGTAACGCTGGCACGGTCCATGATTAAAGCAGTACGTCATTCTGATTTTAATGAGATTTGTGCAACAGCTATTAGTTAAATTACGACGTGTGGCGTGTTTCAACGGCTTTCTAAATTATCCAGCGATAATCTCAATCAAATAACTTTATGGCGTGATTAATACGAATCGCGGATTCGCGGGCGCTTTAGCATTGTTTGCAACTCTGTAATGCACTCTGTGTCATGGGGAAAAGACTCCCCCTTCCCCTCCCCCCCGACTGCACATATAATACCGGCGTGCCGTCTCGAGGATTTTGTTCCGGAAGTTATTTCGCGCTTGCGATGGAATTTTCCAAATTTTATTTCGCGAGGTGTTTTCAAGTTTCGGAATGCGCAACTGATACCCGCGTGAAACATGCACCTCGCAACAATGGAAGAGAAATGAAAAAAAGTAACAGCTTATACGTTGAAGTTTACTCTTGATCATTCATATCGATTTAGCGACGGGAGAGAACCTTGTTATATAAGCTCTCTCTCTCTCTCTCTCTCTCTCTCTCTCTCTCTCTCTCTCTCGAAATAAACTGCGCTAACAATGGTGAAATGCAATAAATGCAGGATTTATACGGCATACAGGTATCATCCGTTATTCAAAAACCCGCGTAGACCCCGTAAATAGATTATATTGCGTAAATGGATGCGCAACTTTCGAGTATCGTGACATTTTTACGGAACATTTTTACGTATGAACGCGTAATAAAAATTTAATTATCTTTATTTCTGATAGTTGCCGGGGACTTTTTTCATTAATTTGTGTACGCATCCTGTGAGACGTAATTCACGATAAATAATAACGGAAAATGAAACTGAAGATCGGCGCGCGTCGATAGTTTTCACCGTGTATCTCTTCGATCTCAATTTATTTCTGTAAAATTATTTTTATTACCGTGAGATAGACCTTGTTTTTAACAAAACGTAGAAATAAATGCACATACGCCATGCGTTTGATCTCAACGATGTGCACACGAGCATTATAATATCTGTTTTTCTTCTGTATAGACAGTTATTCCCGGATAAAATTCGCGCGGATTGCTTTCGAGGAATAAATCAAGTTAGTGCAACAAGAAACAGAACCGGTTTATGCTATTGTAAAGTTTGCATCTCATTTTCAAAAATCGAAAGAAAAAATCTCCTGAGAATTCCAAGTTTTCCAGGTGTCTTCCAATAGTAGACTCCCCGAATGAGCATTTAAATGACACGTTCCTTCTTATCTTATAAGTGTATATATCTATTATAAATCTAACATCAATTGGCCGTACTTATATAGGAATTTTCGGCTAGAAATTAACGTCTTTGTAAAAGTTTTACCGTAATGAGTAAGCACTCTACGGTTTATGTTGTAATACTGGCCAAATGTAAAACTGTGACGTTTGATTAAAACTTTTGATTTTTGAAGCTGAGGTACCAACTTTACAATAGCGCAGTTTGTATTAAGATATGTGATACGATAGCCATACCGATGTCCTTGTTTTCAATTTGTTGCAGTGTTCTTCCACCGGAGCATCATATTCGATGGGTTTGGCGGTTGGAATACTCCCCGGAGATCCCTTTCATCGCTGGGGAAACGAGGAGATCAGATGCATCATAAAGTAGAGGTGAGATTACATTGGCAAAGATAACATTGCGCCAGAGCGCAGAAGGGTATTCCAACGGAAATTGAACTTGTCAACATTGAAATAGAAAATTATAAATTATCTTCTTATACATATTAAATGGCACTTTTTTTCTTTATCCCACGCGATGGATAGAATGGCACGATTTCACCCATCTGATCTGTACGATTTAACTTTATCTGACGACAATCCGACGATCACGAGGAAGGTGAATAAGAAAAATTATCTGTTCGTGAGGCTGTTCTGCTTTTACCGAATATTATTGCGATTCAATTTTAGCTAAATTTAACTTTACATTTTTTGGTTATAAATAAAGAAATTTATACACTATGTATAAGTATACATATGTGTGTATATTGCAAATCTTTAATCAATTTTGAATAAACTTTTCTTTTAAGAAGATATAGAAATATACACCATAACTTTTATAAATTATAAATGATTAAAAAAATTAATTTCAAAAAGGTAATAAAATTGCCACTCTCTTTTAGTTAATTTGAAGTAAATTTTAGTTTAATAGAATTTTAATTGTGGCTCAAAAGGGGACAGAGAAACAAATTTATGTACCTTATACAAAAATGAAAAGCTATAACAATTATGTTTTTTCTCAACTTTTAGCTTTAGCTATTTTATAACTTTTCATTTTTGTACAAAGTACATAAATTTGTTTCTCTGTCTCTTTTTGAGGCACAAATAAAATTCCATTAAACTAAAATTTACTTTAAATTAACTAAAAAGGATTTTGGCAATTTTGTTATTCTTTTGAAATTTAGTTTTTATTTTTAATCATTTATAACTTATAAAAGTTATGGTATATATATTTCTATATATATCTTCCTAAAAGTAAATTTATTAAAAATTATTCAAAGATTTGCAATATACACACATACTTATACATAAATATAATATATAATATTATTGTATATGATATTTATATATGCACACATACATATGCTATGTTAAATTAATTTTTATTGTAACATTTAATTAATGTTTCAACTGGTAAAAGCAGATCAACCTCCAGAGGCCCTCCACCACCCCCGCCAACTGGCGGTCCTCTTTTCTTTGTGGTTGTATGCTTTTTTATTTTTTCCAAGCATAAAAATTACAGTATATAACAATGTATAACAGTACAATTAATTTTATACAAAGCATATAGAAAGTAAATAAAATTATAAAATACAATATAAAAATTTTGAGATATTTACATACATACATTAATATAAATACAATATAAAGAATTTGAGCTATTTTACTGATGCCGAATTACACGAAAGCGTTCGAAACAAGTGTAATGATACTAAAATTCACTATTTTTAAATCAGGTATTTGACTATTGTAAATATTTAAAAAAATAACGATCAACTTTTTATTATTAAGATTTTTATTAAAAAATTCTGTGATATCAGTCAATGATTAAATAAAAAATAAACTATAATCTAAAATTTGCATTGTTAAACGCGGCGAATAAATCAAGTGATATTGTGATATATGGATATTATTTAATAATTGGCAATAATTTTTGAAACGCGAAATTTTGAATAAATAATCAAATCTTGAATATTCTACAAAATTATAAAATGATAAAAACTTCTTAAACTCATTAATTTAGCGAATTTTATATTATCATATGTTTTTGTACTGATTTCGTGTAATATATCCGGCACTAGTATTACATAATTTCAATTTTATTACAATTCTGTATTACAATAATTTCATTATAAATAATATTACATAGTAGTAACATACTCTGGAATTATGTAACAAAGAAAAAATTATTACATTATATGATATTATAATATTTGTCATATTACTAATCATATAATAATTATATAATTATATAATATATAGTTATATAATAATTAGTAATATGACAATTAAATAATATTATATAATATTACGTAGTTTCAATGTACTGGAAAAATACATAATTTTAACTTCTTACATAATTCTTACATAATTAACATCATATTGTCGAATTACAATCCCCCCTGTGTCCCTACCTAACCGAACCTAACCGAACTTTTATCTCTAGATTGTTCCTACCTATCCATATTCTTAGGTATTCATATTTCTACCTAGTCATATTCTTATTTACTTAATATCATATTTTACCCACCCGTATTGATTTTAGTTTGTTTAGTTTATTTAGTTTATTAGTATTTTAATTAGTCGCGACCGCGATTACCCGAGATTAGGGAAGATTTTTAAAGGGAGTTTAAGAAATTTTAAGTTCGCAATTAATGGGAATTAAACCAGAGACTTTTTCGTCTCCAAATATGCACATACACTTGTATGTGCAAAAAATTTATCTTACTTACGTTCATATATTACATTACTTAGCTGGTGTTGAACACCAACCTACCTTGTATACGTCCTCTTCTGGCCAGTATATGGACTTACCGTTTCCTGGCCAAATCCACTCTGGCGATATAGCCAGAGACAGGAAGGAGAAATACTCCTTCTATTGCCGGCTGATCATAGCCGGCAAATGAGCGTAGTGACTTTACGCTCTTTCCCACGATGCGCGAAACACGACCGCGTCGCGAAGGACCATTTATAGCAATTAAATTAATTACGGAATTACTAACATCCAAAATCTACTAATTGTCTTAGATACTCTAATTTACACGCGTGATAACATCTTTGATTAAGAATAAAAAAGATATTATTTAATCAGAATATATATCTTGAGAAAAAGCTGTGTATAATCCGAATAAATTCGACTACTTTTCGCGAATGATAGCAATTTTACTATCGAATGCGATATAATCAGAAACTCTGAATCTTGACAAAAAATTTTAATCAACGGGCTATTAATGGATCCGATTACTTTTCATGAACGATAGAAATTTTAAATGTGATGCATGCAGAACTTAATAACAATGCAAAGTAAATGAGTGACAAAACGCGAGCCGAAGAAATCTAAGGTCCACATTTTCGATTTATCGTTTCGAATATCGAATCTCACCTCAAGTGGGTGAGAAATTAATGACGTGAGATCCGAAAGGAATAATAAATTTCCTGCGCAAAATTGTGCTAATGTGAATATTTCGTGCACTCGAGCGAATACAATTTGAATTTTGATAGCTGCATCTCGTTACCATATATTGTGCGTAATCCGTTCAAAATTATTTCATGGTGTATTAAAAATAAATATTACATCTCTCAAAATCAACTATTTAAAGTAACGCGAAATTGACCAACTTTAAAATTATCGCTGCAAAAAGTTTTTCGCGGAATAACCGTTTATTGGATCTCATGTCATATCGCTTTAACTGGTATAAAAACCAGTTTTCAATGCACATAGATAGACTGTAAAAGTTTAGGTTAAAATTGGCACGTTATAGAGACAAATAATTAATAATCGTAAAGACATGATTTTGTCAAATAGATTATAGATATTGTATCAATTTGTTAAATGAACTACGTATTCAATAGATTATACGTGAAATATTTATTTTCGGTCGTGATATATGCATACTGAAAACATCTCTAAGCATATATATTGCATTTTTGCGCCACAATTTATATAATATTTAATCCTGGAAGACAATATTTGGCAAGAGGGAGCAGGAGGAAATAAAACAAGGTATTTGTTACTCAGTAACAAATATTACGTGTATGTCATTTTATGCAATACCTATTATGTTTATTTATCCTATTAATTTCATTTTTTATTTATTTCATTTTAACACATAATCAATGCATAAAATCAAAGCATAAAATCAAGGCATAAAATCAAGGCATAACATCAAGGCATAAAATCAAGGCACAAAATCAATTTATGTGATTTATCCAGGATTAAATATCAAGTCCTAATCGATTCCAGTCTATCTATTTTAAGGCCACGGATCTATGAAATGTAAAATTCGTAATAATTTATCGTCGTAATTTGACAAGCATCTCTGCGATATATTTGACGTAATCATAGATACGTGACCTCAATTATAAAAATGTACTCATCACTCACCGATCGATGCGCAACAGCGGAGTTACTCTGCAACGTCGCTACGATGATTCTGAACAGACAAATATTCGAATTAAAGCAGGGCGTAAAAGAGACGGCCAATAAAATAATCGCTTAACTCTTTTAAAATATTCTACTCGTTGGACAAGTTTCTATTTCAAACATTTTTCTCTAATTTTTATCCTCTCCCCGAGTAAATCCAATTGAAAGCGCGAGTGATCTTTCCGCGCATGATATAATGTGTATAAATCAATACTTACCGCATGTTGCTCCGCCGGCGCCTGATGCCTTCCTCAGGCCTCCACCTCCTCTCAGACTGCTCGGGATGTCAGGCTTCGTAAGGTTCCTTCCTCCGGGGTTGTCTCGGGACGGCAGCCAACACTCACAACACTCACAACACTCACAATTACGATCGCACGCTACATCTTATACGGCACTCCCGTGTTCGCATTCTTGTACGCACTCGAAGCTAATTAAGACGCGACGAAAGCGAAAAAAATCGCGAGAAATCACCGCGTTCTGGGGAGGATAACTGGCCACCGAGTTTCGGCCAGATCAAAGTCCCTCCAAGAGGTACGTCGGTTAGTATCCGACGCAGAGAAGAAGGATCTTGATGGTGGAGAGCGAGCTGAGCGTACTCTGATTTCTTTCGGGACCCGCGGGATTAATCCGCGAAGGAAAGCTAAGCGGCCCGTCGAACGTCGAAGACGCGCTGCAGGAGGGAACGAATCCCGGATCTTCCAGACCGCTCCCGATAGCGGTCGTTTCGGCAGCAAATCAACGACAGTCACCTCTTTTCTCTCAATCCGCATGACGCCAGGCTGTTAGGCGAGAGTACAAATTCGCGCGAGCATAAATTGTGCTCTCCCATTATTCAGAAACCGTGTTTCTTTTCATTGACATATAAGTGAAATAGAACGATCCCATGTGGAAAGTTGCGTGGTTACGAATAAATATATTTAAGAGAAATAAAATACATGCATTGCTCGCTGCAGCGTGTTATATGTGCGGGCACAAATAATTCTCGGGTACCAACTGTCCGAGGCAAATCGAAACCGATAACAGCCGGATTTGAAAAAGAAAAAAATGCGAATCTAAAGTTCGACAAAATTACCAACTTTTCGCTTGTGTCTGTTGCGTTTAAAAATACATTTGGAAAGAATTGTCTAAAGTTTATCGATATCCGATTGATATCGGGGTACCCAGTCGACTTGCCTCGAATCTATTAAGTGCCCGCACACTTTTGATTACGCTCGCCGCGATGCTAAACGGAAAGAGTACACGTTACTTTTCGCAAATTGTACCAAGTAAATTGTCCGAAGTTGATCTTTATTTGTCAAATAAAAATATTTCACCGTTCATGCATGTATTTTACAACTGAAAGTTGTAAAGTTAATTAAAAAGTTAATATCGATGTGGAATAGCAGGATCCGCAGTACCTAGAAATAGTAAAGGTTAAGCAATAGCACAGCAAAGGTTAAAGCATAAAGCTGAAATATTATATATATATATATACATTCGTAAAATAATATATACATTCGTAACCACGTTAATCGTTAAAGCAAGACTAAGCCAACTGATTGTAAATTCAACTTATTCAGTTGATAGAGTCGGGCACTCGTTCTATTCATATTCTCGCTACTGTTAAGTCTCATTATCGTTCAAGCAAAACTGACGCTATTATTAATATTAATGGAGGAGCACGTAATAAGAGAAAGAAAGAAAGGGAAAAATCTCCTTTCGGAATATTTAATTTACTTCTCGAACACGCGCTGTGAAACACGAACGGTAGTTCGTCGTTGATTCATTGCCAAAGCGACGGCTTCTGGGAACCGCCGAGAAAACCAGGGTTTAATTCCAGCCCTGCAACGCGGAATCTCCAACTTTCGACGGTACACCGAACTAGACGTCGTGGACGAATCCCGCGGGAGCAGACGAGAAATAACTCTCCGCTATGAAGATTATTGCGACTCCTCGCCGGTACGAACGCGCTCGTCCTCCTGACGCGAGGGACTGTGATAAGGCGATCGCGCCCGAAAACGCGGAGAGAACGTGGTTACACGCTGACCGGTAATATCGCGCACAGCACTCCCAACACTTTGCACAACACTCCCGAAGTCGGAATTACGAGAACGCACTGATAATCGCGATCGCACGATATCCGGCACTCCCGAAGACCGAACAACTCGTAAACGCTCGTAAACCGACGCGGCGGATTTAAAGTCATACGAAAGTCTTTCAACGCATTGTTGAGTTCACAAATTTCACGGATGCACTTGCTTTCTGCGTGATTTAGTCCTTAAACTTTAGTCCTTAACTCCGGTCCTCGAATCGCTAGATCACACTGCATCGAAGTCTCGTTCGTTTGGTGGATTTAATCGCCACCGAGAAACCATGCAATAGCTTTGAGAGACTTGCAAGTGAACCTCGAGTTTCGCACACCGGAACGTTGGTCGCCGGCACGGGATATTTGACGTCAAAAAACGCACGTCAAGCGTTCAGTCCGATGTAATGTAATTAGTACCGATAGCACGGCGAACTGATAATCGCGGTCGCACGATACCCGGCACTCCCGAAAATGCGACACGGCGAGCCGCTTATACGATCGGCGGCGATTTAAAGTTATACGGAAGTCTTTCAACGCACCGCTGCGTTCACAAATTTCACAGACACACTTGCTTTCTGCGTGATTCAGTCCTTAACTCCGGTCCTCGAATCGCTGGATCACACTGCATCGAAGTCTCGTCCGTTTGGTGGATTTAATCGCCGCCGAGAAACCATGCGATAGCTTTGAGAGACTTGAAAGTGGACCTCGAGTTTCACACGCCGGAACACGTTGGTCGCCGGCACGGGATATTTGACGTCGAAAAACGTACATCAAGCGTCCAGTCCGATGTATTGTAATTAATAACGATAGCTCGCGCCGCTACCTCTCCGCTCGAGCGTCGCCGCGTGAATGGCCCGGCCAGGTAACACCCACAAAGTCACGGCCTTCGCGGCGCGCTCGTAAACAACTACGTACGGTCGACCTTGTGACGTATGGGCCGTTACCGCGTGGCGCAATGAAATATGTGAACGTATGTACAAAACAAGTGTTTTTGTACGTTCAAATATTTCGTTGTGTCGCCGCGAAGGCCGTGACTTTGCGGGAGTTACCTGGCCGGGCCATTCACACGGTGACGCTCAAGTAAAGAGGTAGCGGCGCGAGCTGTCGTTATTAATTACAATACATCGGACTGAACGCTTGATGTACGTTTTTCGACGTCAAATATCCCGTGCGACCAACGTGTTCCGGCGTGTGAAACTCGAGGCTCACTTTCAAGTCTCTCAAAGCTATCGCATGGTTTCTCGGCGGTGATTAAAGCCCGTGTCACACTACGTATTGCGGACACGGATTGGATTACGGATCGTACAAATAGACAGTCGTCTATCCTGCGATCTGCAATCCGGATCCCAAGTTGCCTCGCTGTGATTGGCTGATTTTCGATCCGCAATCCGTAATCCCAATCCAATCCGCGTCCGCAATACGTAGTGGGACATGGGCTTAAGTCCACCAAACGGACGAGACTTCGATGCAGTGTGATCCAGCGATTCGAGGACCGGAGTTAAGGACTGAATCACGCAGAAAGTAAGTGTATCCGTGAAATTTGTGAACGCAGCGGTGCGTTGAAAGACTTTCGTATGACTTTAAATCGCCGCCGATCGTACAAGCGGCTCGCCGTGTCGCATTTTCGGGAGTGCCGGGTATCGTGCGATCGTGATTATCAGTTCGCTGTGCTATCGGTACTAATTACACACAGTACACTTGTTTTTGTACGCTCAAATATTACCTTACTTCAGTAACGTTGTATGGCGTGTGTTTTCACCACGTATCTCGCGTTTGAAGGTAAATTCGGCGCGTTCGCGCGGATGCTGTCGCGTACGTGAGTCCTCAGATTCTTTAATTATTACTTATGATAAAGGCGATAGGAGCATATGACGATAAAGCGTCAATATCAGTGACCGAAACATCTGACATTATATTAAACACGTCGATATTTATTTTGTTAAACAACTAACAATCGTGTTCTGTTTCATTCCATTTCTTTATAAGCACATTGTCAAGTTTCGCTTTATCGTCATATGCTCCTATTGCCCTTATCACAATTAATCTTTTTTCTCAAAGGAGCTTATTAATATACGCTTCTTTAATCATAGAATTGCGTTCTTACAGAAAAGTTACGAGTCGATCGGCTAAAAGTCATGCGAATAATCATCTTGCAACTTTTCTGTATAAGAATACATTTCTCGCATACGTTTTCCTCGCGAATGATTGAAGAATCGCGCCCCTGCTTTATACTGATTCATCTTTATCGTACGAAGAGAAACGTTTTAAATTAATTAAAGAAGCCACGCGCGAGATACGGCCAAGTATTTTCAGAACTGTCCTTGCATTATCATTTTGCGTGAAACGGAGGACAAGTATATCTCTACACTCTTGTACCGCCGAATTCGAAGCACAAATTTCGTAGTAGAATAGAGATTCGAGTTACACGCTGAGAGGAGATATTCTTCCCGGTATGTTAGTACGAGGTATATATACGAGTTAATAATGAACTTATAATGATCGATTGGAGGTACCGCTCTATAAATTCACGGTACCTTTTTTAAAGAGGTGCAAAATTTTCCGTGCGTACCTCCGAAAGTACGAGGTAGAAATGTACCTCTAAATGTCTGTTTCCATGCCAGATAGGCATTTGTTATACTCTTCCTATGTTGCATGAGCCACACTCGCGATCGCGTAATGTATACCTCCTCAAAATAAAACTCCTACACTGAGAAAAATGTCGGATTAAATGTAATTGGGTAATCCAATTACATAATAAGAAACGGATATATCCGATGAAATATGTGATCGGTTTTTCAATCAAATTTTATCGGTAACTGCACTTCAGCAGATAAATTTCATCGGATGTATCCATAATTTAATCGGAAAACGTAATCGGTAAGATTAACCATCGGAAATACTATTTTTTTACTAAAAATTTTTCTCGGTTTAATTTTTATGTCTCTCGTGATTACGTATGGTTTTTACTTTAACGTGCACCTCCAATTTTTGGCGACACATATATGCTCAAGAGTGCACGCGTACGAGCGTGACTCGATGTCAATCGGAGTAACTGCCGCGCTGAAAAGTGTCTATTATCGACGCGAGTATGCTCGATAGGGAGTCGTAAAGCCGATCAATTATGTTTACGATGCCACGCCGATGTTTTATCCCGCTGATTTATTCACGCTCGCCTCGCCTCGACCTCGGTCCATGCCCTTCATGCCGCGGGGGCTTCATCCACGGTAGAAGGTAACGCGCGGTAACGACTTTATTAGGGTTATCGACGTGCGCACGTGCCTCACCCCCTGACATTTCAACTCTTGGCATGTTCGTTATGGAAAGTGGGCCCGGCCGACGCCCGGCGCCCGGCGCGGCGCCGCGCCGGCAGACGCGGCGGCTAATTGCTAATTATCTTACGGTTTTAATCAATCAGTCAGAACGACACGTTGTGCAGTCATGGCAGATGTTGCGCAACCGCCGCGATACCTTCGCCGTAATCAAGTCCAGATCGCTCGTATAATTGGCCGATTACGTGATCCCGTCGGTTACTCCCGTCGCACGCTCGTTACAGTATTACGTGAACTTCATTATTCCTCGCTCGCCAGAGTTCAGCGGATACAGGGGTGAATCTGCGCCCCGGATCGGCGCGAGAAAGCGGTTTTCGTGTTGTTATAAGCGTCGCATTCCACCCCATCCCCCCCTCTCTCTCTCCTTCGCTCTCTCTCTCTCTCTTTCGCCGGCGAAATTGCAGCCTGGCGTTCTGAAGATATATTTCACGCCTTGTTGCGAGTAAGTGGCTTCTTCCACGCAGGATTAATGCCATAACGCGCACTACGCGTTATGCATAGCATATAATACCTGCTGCTAATTTATTTTTCAGAAAATGCTGTTGGAGACGCGAGCATAAAGTAGCGTTATTACTCAGGCGGCGCAAACATCCAAGAGACGCTGCGAAGAAGTTTATAAAAACGTCTTCGACGCATCTTGCGCGGGAAAGATCGACGAGGATAATTTAATTAAGTACAGCGACTTAATTAAGCATATCGCTACCTGCAGGTAAAACGTTCTTTACTTTCTTAGATATATTTTATGTTGCGCGATACATTTAGATTTTCTAACTTGCATCTACGTGGAATCGGTCCTTCTTAAGCCCAAAACAGGGAGATGCCTGAAAAATATCTTCTAAACACCTTTGTGATATCGCGTTTGCATTGCCCGAAGGCATACCGTAGTAAACGATTCGATCTAGCGAGAGAAAATAAAACAGCTCGTCGCGGGAATAAGACTTCTAGATTTATAAATACGGTAATACGAGCAAATCTGTTTCCTCGATTTAAAAGGATATGCTTTATCTCCCATTTTACAGCACGGTTTCTACTCCTTCGCAAACGCTTTGAATAAAATAATAGTTTTGATGAATAATACTAGAACTTAAAATCTAAGTATTGAAATGTACAATGAACTCTCGATTCACACGGTACTCCTCCATTTAAGTACCTGTGCCGATTAATGAACTAGAGTTCGAGTGAGGTATCGTAAAATTTTCTTCGAGATAGATTTTTGCGTGCGTCTTATTTTTACGCCGTGAACGGCGTAAAAAAACGTGCGACGGGCAACTCGGTAAAAAAATATGATAAAAGCGCCGTATTAACGAGCATATGAAGTGCTCGATCCGTGGAAACTCCCGATATATTGGTTTAAGTTCCTAAACCGCTACACGACCACGGAGTTGCTAATTAATCTCTACGTTCTGTGCTCGACCCAGTTACGATAGTCAGCTACTCAGCGGCGATCATGCTATAACCTTCTGGCCCACTTTCGACAATGTATAAAAAGCGGGGATTACTCTCCCATATTAAATGCGCATCTCGCGGTGAGAGCGAGAAGGAGAAGAACGGAGAGAGGAAGACAGAGAGAGAGAGAGGGTCCGCATCCTGGGATTCTTACCACATCGAGGACGGAAAGAAGCGAGTGAAAAGCGGGTTTCGCAAGATTATTGTTAGATGCTAGTCAGTGGTGGATTATCCACCGGGCGCACGTCTTAAAACCTTCAACGTCTATAGAGAGCTGGACAACTGAGCCGCTAGAAAATCGTAATTGCAAAAAAGATAAATCGTCGTCGATTTTGAGATACTTCGGGGCGAATAATTTAACTCTTCTACAACCGCCGGGACATTTAAGTTCCGCCTTACAGTTTACGCCTCTCCGGTTCCTTGAGACGCCGGCGTGCCATTTAAAGATTAATAATAAACGACGAATAATTCGATCGCGAAAGGATTAAAGGGAAGGAGCCCAGGAGGTCCACGAGGAGTTGCGACGCTCGTAAAAATACATAGAAAGTGTCGAATTAATACAGAATCGCAAATTGACAGACCGATTACCGAGTAATTCGCTTTATTTGTGGAAGCGATCTCTATGCAAATGAGCGATGTATCACGATGGACAATTGAGTTTGCGATATTTGCCTGTCTTATCAATGTTTTGGCGCGCTATCAATCTCAATCGCCTCGTGTCGGCGAACGTATCATCGTGCGGCCCGACTTCCACGAACCAAGTGAATTGCCCGTAATTCCCCTGTCAATTTGATTTGCGAATCTATATCTACATCTTAAACGGACGGACTATATTCCGTCTATCTTTATACGTATCGTACACTCCTCTACTCTAGGAAAAAAGACAGTCAGCAACCCATTTTGGGGCCCACAATTAGTAATCGAATTATTTGCATTGTCTGTAACTCTAATCTTTTACGAATTTCACTCCGCGTAACTAAAAATCGCAATTAGCTATTCTATCTATATCCAAGATTTTTAAGTAATTATACTAATCAATTCTCTCAATTAGTTCGATCGATATTCAGTAACGCAAAGATAATTTTCACTTAAAGGGCACTAACCGAAATGTTAAGTTGCTTAGCTACAAAGAAAAACGGTCCAAATTTTTCTCAGAGTAGAGTAATCCAAATAATTCGATTACTAATTGTGGGCTGCAAAATGAGTTGCTAACTGTCTTTTTTTTCCCAAAGTACGCTCTCCTACTCTGGAAATAAGAGACAATTAGCAACCCATTTCGGGGCCCACAATTAGTAATCGAATTATTTGGATTGTCCGTAACTTTTACGAATTTTACCCCGCATAACTAAAAATCGCAATTAGCTATTCTATCTATATCCAAGATTTTAAACTTATAATACTGACCAATTCTCTCAATTAGTTCTGTCGATATTCAGTAACGCAAAGATAATTTTCACTTAAGAGGCACTAACCGAAATGTCAAGTTGCTTAACTACAAAAAAACGGTGAAAATTTTTCCCAGAGTAGAGGAATCCAAATAATTTGATTACTAATTGTGGGCCGCAAAACGGGTTGCTAGCTGTCTTTCTTTTTCCCAGAGTAGATTTGTCGAATTTACGTCTCCCTCGAAACAGACACGCGGACCTGCAACTTAATTACGATTCTAAGACATCGTTGGAACAATATCCTAGATATCTCCAATTATTCTTAGATCTTAGAAAGACGAAAAACAGACGCGAGGATGCCATTTTTATACTGTTATTGCGACAAATATTACCACGTGCCTCAGCGGTCGAACTGGCGAGACGCCCGCCTAGAGAGTGTAAGGAGGTCCAGGTTCAAACCCTGGCTGAGGTAATATTTTTCGCAATAAATTTTCCGCATTGACCAGTTAATTAACAAGTGCGGCCAGCTGTGGTCGAATACAATTTGGAATTTTATCATTATTCTGGCAAGTTGAAGAATCTAATCTATTCTTAGATCTTCTCCTCCGCACTCGCCTCCAGGGTCTCGCAATACCCCGATCCGTCATTGACGCACGCATCTCTCTTCGGCTTCCTTTCCCACGTGTCAGCCGCGGGAATGAAGACGTCTCCGCTAATTGCCGCGCATCACTTCCCCGCACTTGCAAATTGTTCGCGTCGTCCCGCGTGCGCGGGGACCGCGAGATATCTGTTGTCGCGAATTCGCGAGGTCGGCTAAACGGAGTTGCGCGCGACGGAACCTATTGTTTATCCAACAGCTGATTCGATCGGATTTTTCTCTCGGTGCGTTCCCCGCCGAGTCCGACGGTCGCTCGTTATTTTTTTCTGGCTCGATGAATATTCGAACGCTCGCTGGGCGAGGGTTTGTTCCTCGTCGCGAATGTGGGATGTATGTCGTGGGTATGAGACGGGAACGACCGCGTAGATTGCGAACGGACGCGGACGGCGGGGCGTCTAGACGCCGCGGCGCCTGTTTTCAAGCATCATGCTTGCGGAAATGCGGTCGATGCTTCGTGCTTTCTTGCCTTTCCGCGAGCTTTTGCCGCAGGAATCTCGCTGGCGCCGTTCGCGCGCTGGCCGCGGTCTGTCCAGCGGTTTGCGCTGAAAAAAAAATCAACTGCGAAATAATCCGTGGGACCAAAAAATTGACGCGTGTATCGCAAATTGTCACAAGAGATTTTTTTTGTTGTTGAAAATATCGCGTTTTAGATAAGTCGACAATTTCTCCCACGACGTGCCTTCAACTTTCGCAAAGTGCGGTTCTCTCTCGCTCGTGTTCTCTGTCGGCGAGGAGGTAGAGGATTATGTAGGACGTCGAATCCATTATAATATTAATTTCAAAAAATATGCCGTGATACGAAAAGCATTGAAGCTCTAATGGAACATTATTGATTTTATCTGAGCGATAAAGTTGCGCTTCCGGCGACATCATTTATTACGCGCCGCTCGCTCGTAAGGAACGCCGAGCTCCGGGCGCGACACGTCGTTTCCTCGCAATTCGAGATTTCCTCGCCCATTATCCGCCGTCCCGCAGAATTTCATTCGCCCGATTAAATCGAATAAAAAGCTCCGTACGTGACGTTCTCGGGGGGGGGGGGGGCGGGGACGGGCAATTTTTTTAATCAGGCGACGTGGGTTCCCGCGAATCGCGACGTGGCGCGCTAAGGGCCGCCCCGCCGCCCGGGTCGATTTTAATCTCTGTAAGAGACTCCGGGGAGAGAATGCGCGCTTATATTCGGATTGAAAATGTTACGTCGCGTTGCACGTGCCGCGATTGAAATGCATTTAATGGGGGCTGCGCCTAAAGGCGGGCCGAAGTCGAATGTGTGTTGTGCCGCCGCCATCACCTCCTCTCCCTGTGTGTGTGCGCGCGCGATCGATCAGAGGCCCAGTTTATGAGCATTTATAACAGACCCGTTTCGCCATGGGGATAACAATTCGAGATACAGTAGATTTTCGCTAATCCGGCCATTCCTTGCACGAAGATTTGCGATAACGTCGTTTACTGAGACTGCATACAAGTTTTACAGTAAAACGTCAGCAGGTCTTTATTCTTAGGGCAGCAAAGGGAATAGAATCAATTGATAAACGTAAATATACGACAAATTTCACTTATGCCGCTTACACGTGGCTGACGTAGGTACCGCCACTTGGGCGCCATCCATTGCGCCAGTCAAAATTAAAAAATTAATCAATGATATCCAATTTTAACGACCTGCACTGGCCAATGTTTTTATTTTAAAAATCAAACCACGTTACAACGCTCCAGTCCCAGATTTGGACCCTTGTCAAGTAATCTGAAATCGTGTATAACTTTGCAACGAACATTACTTAATAAATTAATTGCAACGACACAAACCATAAAAATCATACCTGTTACAAGATCGTTAAAGATCACATATTAATTGGTTGGCCAATACCATTATGACAGTAAGCTGTGCACAAGCAAGCGAGTGATTACATTATAGTGATTTAATAAATGTCAGGAAATAAAAACTTACATATTAGTCGAAAATAAAAAATATAAAAATTGCACTCTTCGGTTGGGGAGTGCGACGTCCATTGAAATCGCGTCGTTGTTCATGAAATATGTATACAAGAGCGACGAGAGATCAAGTTGAACTGACGGGCAGCAAAATAAATAAGAACCTAAAAAATTAATCACGATAAGCGACCGAATTACTGAGAGTGCATAAAAATGTCATAGTAATCCGGGAGCAGTTCTTATGGTAGCAAAGTGACCAGATCAACGTTCTTCGTGGGAAGATGCTAAGGGAAGATGAATAGATAAAAATTTACAAACGCAAATATACAATAAACGTCACTTATGCCTCTTACACGTGGCTGTTGTTCCATTCCGCCCGTCAAAATTAAAAAATTAGTCACGATAAGCTGCCGGATAGGCTGGATTAGCGAGAATCTACTCGAATTTGCCTGGCTCGCTCGCAAGTCGCGCGTTAAAAGTTTCCGTGACGCGGCGTTATCTGAAAAATTAATAAGACTGGGGAGGGGTGGGGGGGGGAGGGGGACAAAAGGAAGAATAAGAGGACGATGCGGACGCGCGAAGAAGCTCGCATTAATAATATCGCATAGGTGTCGTTACCGATCTCCCTCCCTGAAAATTGGCGAATCCTCCGACGGCGCTTAACCGCGCCATTTACAAAGCCCCGCTCGTCGCCAGATGGACGCGAGATTCTCGCGAATGCGCGGCGTCGAAGTGAAACGAGAGGAGAGCGTCGCACAGATTAAAGAACATAAAACTTGGCCGGGGTGTGTAATAAAGCATCCCCCTCGTTCCTCGCTCTTCTCTCCTCTCTCTCTCTCTCTTTCTCTCTCGCGCTACCCCGGGCTGCTCGCCTTACGTCTAACGGGCAGTTTTGCGCCACCGACGTTCTCGTTTCTCTCGCCCGGGCGCTTGAATTACGAGCGAGTTTTCCGCCTTACTGTCTATTTACTGCCGTGTTCGCGTGCCGCAGGTAATGCCGGCCCCGGCCGGGGGAGGGGGGGGGGGAAGAAGCACGTGGGGAAAAAAGCTCGCGCAGTGAATTCCTGGACACTTTCAGCGGGTATTTACGGCGCTGCGACCGTCCCCGCAGAATTTATTTAATTACCGCGGGCGTGACCCGCGTGTGGCACACTGCCGCTTTATCAGGGTTTATGCCAATTTTGCTGTGCGCGAGCGGGACCGCAATACCGATATCAATCGCGCGACACAGAATCGACATCGTTATTGGAATTTTTGGCCCCGTGGCGCAACCGCGGTTTAATCAAACTCGAAGCCCGCCGAAAATTCTGTAAAGATATTTCCACCGGATTGTAATTTAATGGTTATTTTATTCTCCCTATAATACCGTACAGAGTGGCGTTTTGCACTATTTTCTTCTTGCGAACAATATACGCTGCAGCCAATAAACCAGTTATCGAAGTTGATTGCAGGCTGCATAACTGCGCCCGCTCGATATCGATTGTGTAAACAATGCTAACAGTAATCAGTTGAAATTGTAAAACGCGCGTATATCTCCTCCCCGGTCTCTATCATGATCGATTTATTATCCTCCATAATCTCGTATCTCCTTCCCGATAGAGTCATTAAACTGTATGGGCTTCTTCTATCGGCTTTTTTTCCTCGTTTCGGATAACGCAAGATAATGTGCTACATGAGTCTCCACTATATTGGCCGGCGCCGTGAAAGAAAATTCCTAGGAGATACAGCTTCCTCGGACGGGGACTGCGCGCGGTTGTGAATTATAATATTGCCTCTCGACAATGGCTTTGAATGGCGCGCATAAAAAATACGCGTGGTAATGTGGGATCGGGGGGAAAAGAATGGACAGCAGCTTTACCTTATGCGAATGTGAAAGCTTCATCGAGCGTGACATTAAAATGTAAAGCGACATTGTCATCTGGAACGGAGGCTGCTC